TCACTCGCTCAGAAAATCCAATGGTTATTGAGCACTGGTGATTGGGAAAAGGTCCCCAAACCCCAGAAAGGAGCTCATAGTAGGGAGAGGGTACTGGTAAATGGCTTCTATCCCTGTGCTACAGATGATGATAGAAATAGCCACAGGGCCACAGGAAGGGCATCTTGTATGGCCAGAGCCTCTGCTTAGGAAACTTTCAGAAGGTTATAAATTAAGCCTTGATAATCTTGTAGGCATCAGCCATGTGAAAGAATAAAACAGCAGGGCCGGCCGAGTGGTGCATCGATTAAGGGTTGGCTTGGGACGCCAGCTTTGAGCAGCAGGGCCCCGGTTCGGATCCCACATTGAGGGTCAGTGACGCTGCGCCCTCTACAGCTAAGATGATGAACAACAGCTTGACCTGGAGCTGGACTGCCGTGAGTCGCCGCGATGGCATAGGCTGCAGTGGGGCTGGTTGGCAGCTGGCGTGCCATTTCGTGAGCTGCTCAGCTGCCGTGAGCGGCCGTCCAATGGTCGGCGAGTGACTGCCTCAACCAGGAAGAGCGCAATGATAATACCAACATGGGCCCGTGAAGCGACGTCCTCCACAACTAGACTGAAGAACAAAAGGACAGCAACTTGTCTGTTCCTCTTCCCCGATTCCCCAACACTGTTCCCTTCCCCAATTCCCCCAATAAAATCTTTTTTTTTTTAAAGAGTAGAACAGCAGCATTCCAGCAAAAGAGCAGGAATAAAAGCCAGCACACATGACACAGCATGTTGTATGAGGACATGACATGTGGTTGTCCAGTGAGCACAGGGACCTGGGGGAGCAGGCTGGAAGGGCAAAGTGTAGGCCTCGCAGTGCTTGAGGGGTACAGGCAACAGGAACTCCTGACTGGCAGCAGCAGAGGTAAAACAGTCAGGCTAGGGTGTCAGCTGCTCATTTTTGCCTATAGGGAGGAAGAATTTGGAAAATAATAGACCTGGGGGATGCCCTAATGTTAGTAACACAATGCCTCTCAACCTCATGGTTAATACACACACACACACACACACACACACACACACACACAAATATATATATACATTTAAAGGAAAAAATACCCACTGCCCACTAACATTACCCAAGTTATTGTGAGACTCTGAGGCCATGTCAGTGGAGTTTGGCAATGAGGCTCTGAGGGTCCTGCCAAGAACAGGGTCTATGGTGTTAGGGACAATGAAGAAGTCCTCCACCAGGAAATGTCCTTCTAGGGCCTTATAATAAGCTTCAAAATAACTAACTGATGAGAATTTGTGGTCTTCAGACTGAATTTTAGAATTTTTAGTGATTTTGACTGCTAGTTAAAATCTGCATTAAAATGTCTCATATAGCATCTTCAGCTGGTATTTTCTTCCAAATAGACATGTTTTTGGAAAACAGAAGTCAAAAAAATTATCCAGAAAGAAAAAAAATCCCAATGAGTGTGCCAACAAATCTCTATTGATTTAAAATTTTAGAGGCCAACTAAAGTCTGAGACCGGTTTAATTCGACAAAGTCTGAGCGCCCCCTGATGGTAAACCAGGGTCCCTACAGCAGATGCTTTTTCTTTTTAGCTGCCTGGAGTCAACTTGTTAACCCCTTCGCTTCAGCTAATCAAGCAAGTGATTGTTCTTTGGTGCTCTGTGTAGAAAGAAAATAAAGTACGCTACCTTATGATGAAAAGCATGTCGAATATTTAGGAAGCTGCTAATTTAGTAGAATTTAAGGAGAATGAAGATTTGCTAAACCAGAGATGGAAATGGGGGCTTTCATATGAGAACCTAAAGGATTTCCAGGAAAACCTCATTTTTATTTCATTGTGATCTTCACCTCATCCCAGGGGGAAATGGCACAGTGACCGGGCAAGAAGAGAGACCATGGTCCCACTGGAGCATCAGCTGCAGCCTGGCGCCCTCCGCTGGCCGCTCCCATGGCTACAGGGCTGGCACAGAATGCCACCCACTGCGGCCCTGTCAGGGTGCGGTGGCTGGGTGACCTCTGCTACCCCCCCCCCCCACCCCCAGGCAATTATGTTTTAAACACACATTCTTTTCTTTTGGTAAAACGTTATCTCGATTCAACAAGTAAACTGAAGTTACACGACAGGCTGTTAAAATATATTCTCCATTGAATAAATAGATCCAGGAGAGTGAAAACCGCTTCCTGGGGAAGGTAAAGCGAAACAATGTTTGCAGAGGAGAGGAAGCTCTGGCATGCACCCCTGAACAAAAGGGAACAAGTGGTCTTTACTTGGAGAACGGCTTCCTATTAGGACTCACTCCTTCATATATTATGCCTTTCATCCCCACTCAACCACAAAATGATTTTGCTGAAGCAAATACAATGGTAGAAAAAGATTTACACTGAAAGAATCTTTAATAATAAACTGTTGCGGATCTGCCTACTTGCCCGTGATTTATAATACAATAAACATCGGATTCTATTACGGCTTATACACTGAAGCTGCTGCTCTGAAAAATAGAATATGAAAGCATCCGGACCCCACCACCATCACAATGAAATGAGCATGTATAAATGTGCTAAGAGTATCTCTTTGCATCTTTTATAGCTTGTGTGTATTAATCTGTAACGCTTATTAAGAAAGTCATTGCTATGCAAAGCAGCACCCAATCCCTTTCTCTGGCTTTTCAACAGAGTGCACTGTTTAGCCAATAGGACGGACCCTCTGGCCCTCATTCTGCATTCATCGCAGGCAACATTTGCACAATGTATCTCTCAAAGGCGGCTGAAAAGAAGACCTTAATACTCATGTAAACAACTGCAAACCAATTACTTAATGAATCAGGCCCACACATAATGAGGTGCAGACAAAGAGCTATAAATGTATTTTTGCACCCAAGCCGCTGCTTTAAAGTAAAATCCCTCAGCTGTAGTTTGGGCTTAACTAGCACATCATAATTATTGTCTCTAGGACATCAGAGGAAGCCTTTTTTTTTTTTTAAGGTCCAGCAGGGTGGTTTTTTTTTTTTTTTAGGTTTCTCATCAGCTCACTGACAACACAGAGCAAAGAAGAATTTTTAAAAGTGCTACAGCAGCACTGCACTGTTATGTTTATTCTCAAGTACTGGGTTTCGAGACCACTTGTAAAAGCAATAAAGCACGAGGAGTGACTGCAGTAAGTGGGATCCTTAAATGTAAGCCTCTAAGAAATTTCAGGGAATCCAGGCACAAACAGCAAAACCAGAGCTCTCCAAAGCCCACTGTGGCGTATTAACAATGCCAAACCCACCACAAGAACAAAACCAGAAAAACCGAAACCCGCTATTCTGTGCCCAGACCTTTTCCTCACTGGATTATTATCAAGTGTCTAGAACGAAGGGTTCCTTGAAGACTTATTTTTTTTTTCTTAAAGAACATGATGAGATTACTTGTAATTTATTTAGGAAATTAATTTCATGCAGAAACAACACTAACAACAAAAGGCCCCTGCCTCAAATGGAAGGGGAAAAAAGTTTGATTTTTATAATGAAATACAGATGCAAGATATGATCAGGCTGAGAAAATGTCCTACAGAATCCAACTGCTTTCTAAATGTATTTAAAAATTTAAGAATTGGGGTTTTTAATGCCTCTAAAATATAATGGAAACAAACATTTCTAACTATCTTTAAAAACTAAATGTATGTATTATTAAGCCAAATGTTAACATTAAGCCCTGAAAACTACCTGCAGAATTTATTATCTTTTAAAATTTATTTTAAAAGCCCTAGAATTTAAATTTATAGTATAATCATAAAAATATAATACTTTAATATTTAATACTCTTATTGTCCCATAGTTTGTTATCTCTCACTTCCCTCAAAAACATGGAATAAAAACCAGGTATTAAAGATAATAATTTCCGATAAAATTGAACTTATCAGATTTCTAAAAGCAAGAATTCAACTTCAGAAAATCAAAATTTATTTTAATATATTCCAGGTCCTAAAAATATGGTGATTTTTTAATTTGATGAAAATATAAATAAAAATAGGATTTTTTAATTAAAAAAATATATATCTAGATCAAATCATTTTCTCTTATAAGATACTAGAAATGTAAAGTTATGGTTTTAAAATTTTATTGGGGGTAAGCAGTTAATTCAAATGTAATGCAATTACCTAAAGGACAACTTTTTAATGAGAAATGTTATCACAAAGGGAAACTTGTGCTGTTTTAAATGGTATTTATCCCAAAGCAAAAATACAGGTATTTTATCAGACGACTGCTTCTATTCTTCCTAAGTGACTCATTGCCATTGACATGATTAGTGTTTTCTGTTGATGACAAATCTAGCATACAACTCACTTATCATTGTTTGAAAAACTTATAAGAAGTGCTACAGTTTAACAAATGTGAAAAAGTAAATTTTGTTCTTTATGGAAAATAAGCTGGAAAGTGTCAGAAAAGGAAAGTATAATCTAGCCCAAATACTTAGTAAAAAAAGAGGAGTACAAAAACAAATATCCAGCAACTGCTAGTATATATATCAACCATCTCAGAAAGAAGAAACAGGCCACTTTATTTCCTTTAAGGTCTGATGTTTTCTCCCTGCCCTTTTCCAGCACCCTCCATTGTGTGGTCTCTAAGCAGCCCTACTGCGAGCAGCTGTAGACGCTAATTTGTGGTTCACTGAGGTGTCAATTGAGTCTTAAACCAAGGAAACAACAGCTGCAAAACAATACTTGGCTCTGGTGCAAATATTTTCAAAGTAGACTGAAGTTTCAACTGTTATTTCAGATAAACAAAAACCCAAACCATAACCTTCCATCAAGTCACACAACAAAATAATATGCAGCCAGAGTTTGATTCATTGCATAGTGACATTTCTCATCTTGTTGCCACTATTCAGAAAGGCTTTCGCGACTTTACCTTGACAAAGGACTTCCTTGGCTAGATGAAAAACTAGCTTCTGAAGCGATTTTGTTAGTTGTCTTTGTCTTGAATGTACCGCTGCCAATGTTCAAACCTGTGACAAGCACAAATGCAGAGAGGGAGCATTAGCCACCAAGCAGCAATGGATGCAATGAAGAAAGAAGGGACCTCACAATCACTTTGGTAAAACAAATGTCAACAGAGGAAGATGCTGTTCAAGCCACAAAAAGCAAGGGAGCATCTAAGGCAAGGAATCATATGTTGGCGGAATACTGAAAAGAAGTAGGGGGTTTTCCAGTGATACATACACAGAAGCCACAAAAAGTAAAAAATAAAGTCATTCAAAGAGCACCATTTTAAATGGCTAAGATGCGAGTATGAGCACATGGGTCTGTACTGTGGCATCAAACTGAATAATTCACATTGTTATAACACACAAGCAGCGATGGCTCACCAAGATATCGGATGCTAGGAACTAGGTCTCACAAATAACTGACACCACTGCATGACAGCTGCCCACACCACTCACCTTTCAGTTCCTCTGCCAAATCCTCTCTTTTTTCATCTCGCAGAGGAGAATGAATCTCCACTGAAAACCATCAAGGACACTCTTTAACCAGCCTGAAAAGGTTGATGGGGAAGATGCGCAATCCACCTCTTTCCCTGGAGCTGGGGGAACTGGGCTGTCCCCGCAATGCTCCCAGCTTGCAGGTCAATCCCTGACATCTGCCTCCTGGGTGTTCTCAGCCTTGGACATGTCTATTACAAGTCTGATTCTTAAATGACAGTTGCCCAAGATCATAGACAGAGGGCATCTCAGCAGAAGACATTTACTGAGTTTCTCACCTGTAACCTGCTTGCCTGCATGTAACCTCTGCAGCAGAGCGATTCTTTTAATAATGTGTCCATGTTCAGCCTAAATAGGGTCTGCACAGGACAAGGTCATTTCAGACATGAAAACAGAGGCACAAGGTTTAAGTGGCTTTCCTTAGAGACAGGTCCAGAGACAAAGACCTAAGACATCTGATGTAGAAAGTAACTGGAACATGTGCTGCTTCTTCAATAGCTCGATTTGGGGGTGGCTACTGAGTTTAGAGCGTATGTCCCCACCACTACCTGCAACAGTGCTGTGGAGTTTAACATGGGGTACCTGTCTTCCATTTCCCTCTGCCCTCCCAGCCTACTTCCTGCTTCTCTTTGGGGCTCAGATAAATTCCTAGGATCAGAGTGAGAATGAGAATGAAATGTAATGCATGACCAAATATAAAATAAATACCAGGGCAGTATTTAACTATTATACAATGACAGCCAGCACTATCAGAAGCACTTCTAAGATCTCAATGCTGGAAAACTTGGACTCTTGTAGAGCACACAGTTTAATTCTAAGTGTAGAGTGAGAAACTGAATCTAGGGGTACTTTACTATACAACCTATAAAACATCAATCACTTCACTTACAAATAAATTGACAAAAATGTTAATTATTATTATATTAATAGTACTATAATTTTTGATACACATTTAAGGGACTACAACTTATGTCAAATTTACTCATTCTTTGAACCTGTCCAATTAACTATCGAAAGAATACTTACCAAAAACAAATTGTGGAGTTACCTTTCAAATAATGCATGTCTGCTAAGCAGCTATAATGCTCTGAAAGAGGCATTGCTCTCTTGGGGCCTCATATGTAAAATGAGGGGGTTGAATAAATACTTTCTAAGATCCTTCTGGATTCTAATTCTGTGACTCAAATGTGAAGAAGGTGATGAAAAGCAAACAGTTAAGGGTTCACAAGTAGTCTCTCTCCAAAGTGATGAAGACCTCCATTGAGGCAGAGGCCCTGTTTTATTCCTCAACAAACTACAATGTCTCATGTTTGCAGAATTCAAATAACTACCACCAACATGGCCAGCCCTCCCCAGAGGCTTTTCTCTAACATGCGGAGTGTGGGGTATTTAACCTGTAGTGGCTCACTGAATCCTCAAAGCAACCTAAATAACTGAATTTTGCAGCAACCGATTCTAACACTAATATTATCTAGGAAACAGCTCTCCAAAGACAAGTCTGATGCACCATAAGTATGTCCCTCAAAAAAATGTTTGTCTGGTGAATACATCTTTGAGACCACTGGGAAATCTAAATATGGACAGGGAATTACGTAATATTAAGAAATCATTGTTTATTCTGATAGGTAAAATTAGTGCCATAATGCATGGTGGTTTACATAAAAAATAAGTGTTAAAGCGTACTTCCTTCTGTATTAATCCATTTACTTTCACAAAGGGAGTTGAGGTGATTTCTACTTAAAAAAAGGTGTAAAAAAATAAAAACCACTGGAAATAATAAAAATAAAATAATAAAGTATAAGAAATCAGAGAAAATTACAATTAAAATAAAAATCCTAGATCAAAGGAACTATATTTAAGCTTAAAGTTAGCTTTTACTGGGATTTAGACTTTTCATCTAAAGAACCCCCAAATCCCACAACATTCTGGTGAGGGAGGGTAGCCTAGGATGACACTCTCCACTGATGATTAAGAAACTGGAAGATGTGGGAAGAGAAGGAATTTGGGGTGTCTCTGTGGTACTTAGTGACAAGTTACTATCATGATATGCTCGGTAGAATCCAAGGGTCTGAAGGGACCATCACCATGAGGGGCCAGCATATATCCAGGAGGGAAGACTTCCAAACTCATGTTTGTTAAGGGTTGAAAAAGTACTACTAGCTTATTTTGACCCATTTACATTTGTTACAAAGTAAACTCAAGAAACCTTTAAAGGATGACCATTCTTTCCTGAATACAGCACTGGCAACTGCCCTGGGTCTCCTAGGCACTGATTTTGAGTACTGAATCCACCCTTGCTTACCTGACAGTTGTGATGCAGCAGCATCCATCTTTTGGAATCTGCCTTCAGTTTGATTTGTATCATCCTGAAGGGTAGACTGCTTCAGCAACTGGTAGGCTTTTGTTTCTACAGATTAAAAAAAGGCATATAACTGGATATCCACATGCAAAAGAATGAAGTTGGACCCTTACCTTATATCACACTGAAAAATCAACTCAAAATCATTAAAAACAAATTTAAGACCTAAAACTATTAAATTCCTAGAAGAAAACATAGGATAAAAGCTTCAGGACAGAGAATTTGGCAATGATTTCTTAGATGACCAAAAGTATAGTCAACAAAATAAAAAACAGACAAATAGGTCTACATCAAACTTTAAAACTTTTGCATGTTAAAGGAAACAATTAATAGAGTGAAAAGGCAACCCTATGCAATGAGAAAATAATTGAAATCATGTATTTGATAAGGGGTTAATATCCACAATATACAAAGAACTTCCATAACTTGACAACAAAAACCAGAAACAAATAACCTGATTAAAAAATGGGCAAAGGATTTGAATAGACATTTCTCCAAAGAAGACATATAAATGGCCAACAAGCACATAGAAAGATGCTCAAAACCACTGTCGTTAAGAGAAGTGCAAATCACAACTACAATGAGATAACACCTCATATCCATCAGGTTGGCTACTATAAAAAAAATAGAAAATCGCAAGTGTTGTTGAGGATGTGAATAAGTTGGAACCCTTGTACGCAGTTAGTTGGAATGTTAAGTGGTGCAGCCACTATGGAAAATAGTATGGAGCTTCCTCAACAAATTAAAAGTAGAATTACCACATGATCTAGCAATCCTACTTCCGGTTATATATATCCACAAAAATTGAAAACAGGATCTCAAGAAGTTATTGGCACACCTGTTCATCACGACATTTACTCACAATAGCCAAGAGGTGGAAGCAACCCAAATGTCCATCAATAGCTAAATGGACAAAGAAAATTTGGCACATACATACAAGGGAATATTATGCAGCCTTAAAAGAGAAGGGAATCCCATTACATACTACAGCATGAATAAACCCTAAAGACATTATGGTAAGTGAAATAAGCCAGTCACAAGAGGCCAAATACTGTATGATTCTACTCACGTGAAGTATCAAAAGTGGTTACAATCATAGAAACAAAACATGGAAAGGTGATTACTAAGGGCTGGAGAGAAGGGGGAGGAGTATTAGTGTTTAGTGGGTAAAGTACTTCAGTATTACAATATGAAAAAGTTCTAGAGATCTACTGTACACCACTGAACTGTATATATAAAAATGGTTAAGATGGTAAATTCAATGTGATGTATTTTTTACAAAATTAAAAAAAAGTAGAGTGACCAGATATCCCAACTGGTCCCTGACAATTTAGATTTATGTCTGTTGTCCCTGTATAATTATTAATGGAATCTTCTTTTGTTATCAAAAGTTTCCTAGTTTAGATAATAGGTTATATGGTCATCCTACTTAAAAGACACATGAACCAAATGCACTGCAATGGCATAGTTTGGCTACTGATTAAAAAAACAACAACTTGGGCCGGCCGAGTGGCGCGATGGTTAAGAACTCGCTTGGGATGCCAGAGGGCCCCGGTTCGGATCCCACATATGAGGGCCAGTGACACTGCCCTCCACAGCTAAGATGCTGAACAACAGCTCAAACTGGAGCTGGGCTGCTGTGAGTAGCCGGCGACGGCGTAGGCTGCAGCCCCTTTGGCAGTGGGTTGCCATGGGCTACCGTGTGTAGCCAGCAGCCAGCATGAGCGGCCAACAGCTGCAGTGAGTGGCCGTCCAGAAGCCGGCGACTGATCTGCCTCGCCAGGGAAGAGCGCAATGACGGTGCCAACTTGGGCCAGTGAAGCAACATCCTCCACAACTAGATTGAAGAACAAAAATGACAGCAACTTGTATGTTCCCCTTCCCCCAGTTCCCCAGCACTGTTCCCATCCCCCCAATTCCCCAATAAAAATCTTTAAAAAAAAAAACAACTTTAAAAAATATTTGAACACTGATTGGATATTTGATGATATTGATAAATCATTATTAATTGTTTTAGGTGTGAAAAAATACACAGAAATACTGAATTTTCTACTACCTAGAGAGAAGGTTCTTAAATTCTTCCTACAATGTTAATACTTTTCAGATGCATGCAAATTACTTTTTTGAACTGTCCCTTTTCAGCTATTCTGAAAATAAACAATTTATAGTTGAATCCAGTTTTCAAGACTCAAAGACAAGTTGTATAAGTTTATTTGAGGTAGCCAAATTCCAGTCATTATTTTGAGTGGGTCTGTGGATAGGTTCAATTCATAGTAAAATGTGTTCTCTCCACTCCAAGCCTTGCAGAAGCCACTACAGGAATGAATCAGAAGAAAGCACTGAATTCCTTGATTGGTCATCTGGTAGTACTTTGGAGCACTCCCTGCTCTGGCTCTCAAGTTCTCACATTTGAGTGTGGGATTTCTAAGCTGTGTGAATGGCAGGAGGGCCAGGAAGATTAGTAGTAACAGCAGGTTGCACTCAGAGACCCAGAGCCTAGCCTTGTGTGGGGAGACAGCATTTGCAGGAAGCAAAGCCAGGTGTCCTAGAGGTATCAGCAGCAGCCTGGACTTGGCTCGGATCCACAGCCCCCAGCCCTGAAGGACTTCTGGTAGCATCTGCTGTAAGTTAAGGTGGGGAAGACTGTTGGGAAAAACAATAAATAAAGATCATGTAAAGGATCCAGATAACACAACTTTCTCCATTACCTCAAGTCTCAAGGATACCTGGATGAAAGGGAAGATGGAAAATTAGAGTCATAACATAGACAACAAAACAGCATCCATGTTTACATCTTCAATGTGGCCACAGATGAAAGGATTCCTGATATTAGCACCAGGGGCTGGCAATCAGATGTATTCCTGCTTTTGCTGGCTCAATTTAAGAACTTAACCGCAAACCCCTTATTACTGGATTAAAACTACCATCACACTGAAGAATAAAAATATAACTTATCTTGCCCTACTGAGAATCAATCAAGATAAAAATAAGTATTTAAAATGAGCATCATATTTTGAGATATTAAATGCTGTATAATTAAAATATGTACAGACAGGAACTCTTAACACTGAAAATAAATCCTAAGGCAACATTTTTTTTTTAAGATTTTATTGTGGAATTGGGAGAGGGGAACAGTGTTGGGGAATTGGGGAAGGGGACCAGCCAAGTTGTTGTTCTTCAATCTTTGTTGTGGAGTGCACCAGTCGCCATCTGCCTTCCCATCAGCAGCTCATGGCCTGTAAGCTGAAGGTGCTGTGTTCAATGTTAGTTGCAGGCGGGCGTGGCCATCATCCCACTGAGCCATCTGGGCAGCAGCTCAGCTCAAGGTGCCAAGTTCAGTCCCAGTTGTGGGTGGGCTTAGCCCACCATGGAACAGGCAATCTTGTTGTTACACCAGCTGAGCCATCCTGCCACCTGTTGGCAGCTCAGCGACAGCTCAGCTCGGGCACAGTGTCACTGGCCCCTGTTCCCACATCGAACTGGCGGCCCTGTTGCTCAGAGCTCGCGTTCTTAAGCCAACTCTTAACCAACTGAGCCACTTGGCTGGCCCCTAAGGCAACATTTTTTAATATTGCTGGATTGTGAAATCAGTTTGGCATATTGGAACTAATATTTAGAAAAATTTAATAAAGAAAGCACCAGATGCAGTGCATGCAGAGGGGAGGGTATTGTTTTGTGTAACTTCTGTTGTATGTGTTGAGTACTGGCCTGGATAGAAAGTGTTCCTTGCTGTAGGTCAGTCCCACTGTCTTAGGATGGCTCCAATAGGATGGCATCATAACACTTTCCAATTAATCCTAATGTCCATTTTACTTCAGATTTGTTGTAAAGTAATTGGGGGTGGTGGAGGTTAATCAAATCAGGAACATAGATACTGCAAATAGACTGGATAGGGTGGGATAGTAAATGCAGACACTTTCTGGGGCCAAGCAGGAACTACACATAAGTGACTCTGGTCAGGTGGGCGCAGTGGGAGAGGTGAGTCTTGTAGCAGGCTGGAATGCCATGTACATGCCCTGTCGAGGGGGCAGCTGTTCTCTGACTATAGCCAATTGCTGCCAGGTGGGGAAGTGGGCCTAGTCTTAACAGACTTCTGCCTTTTTAAATGAAAAAATAAAAAACTGCACAGGCCAAGCAGAACATACTTACAATGCTGAAACTAGATGGTGGTGAGCAATTTTTTTTTTCTGTGTTGCAAGAAAACTTTGTGAAAAACTTCAGCCAATAGAGACAAAATAGACAAAGCTAGATGTTAGGAAAAGCTCACTTAGTTTAAAGAGTTGCGAGGCCCCAGAACATATTGTCAAGGGAGGCTGCAACAGCTGTATGGAGATTTTCAAGTAGCTGTCTGTATCAAATGGACCAGGTTTCTGACTCTTTGGATGCAAGAGTATACTTTTTACTAGGGGTGCTCAAAACAATTCAGACATCCTCCAGGAATAGTCTAGAAGACTTGAGTAGGAGGCCAACTTCATAAAGCAAAAAGGCAAAAAGCTATGAGGTTCAAATTAGCCTGTTATAAACAAGGTAAGGACAAGGTTCATATATTATTCAAGGAGGAAAAACCTTTAATTTTCTCAATGGACAAGTAAACTCTAAATCTGCAAATTTGAGGATTGGGTGGCTCCTTAGGAACTCCAGTGAAACACTTCCTCCCATTATTAATGTCAAACTGTCAGAAAACTATTGAGTAGTAAAAATTATTAGATAAGGCAATTATTTCTAAACAATACTTATTTTCAATTAGAATGTTCTGGTACACACAGAAACAAACATGCATGCATGATCAAGCTTTCAGTTCTGGGTCTCTCAGTCAAGCATCTATTGCATACTCAAATCTGTGTTGATTTAGTTTAAAAAGTAGAAAAGATTGCAGTTTAAAACATAAAGTAAGGCAAGGGGCCCAGGGGGTTAAAATCTATCCTTGGCTATTAATTCCAGACTGATGACACAATGAGATAAATATATCTTCCTACTTCCTTACATAAGCTGGCCGAACCCAATCATTGATCTTCCTGCAAAGTGGTATGGATCACTGAGATTGTTTC